TTGTTTGACTTATTAATCAATGAATGTTAATAATCTTTGGTTAGAGCCTCTTCTCTACCAGAAGTTCTCAGACTAAATGGCTTGCCCACCAACCAGTTGGATTGGACTGTCCACAGGGCCTCTCAGAAGACAGGATTCTTTCTCCTACCTAAGGGTAGCCCATTTCAGTCACATTAAATGTCTCAAGTGCTTTCAGCAAAGGGGGTTCTTTAAAATGCATCCCAAGCCCACACTAATTTCTAATAACTTTTTGGTGTAGACTAATGCTTACCTGCTAAAAAACCTGAGCATGTGTGCCTCATATTCGTTTTCTGAGTAAAGCCAGAAGGGGCACTTGAAATGCATAAGGTTAGGAATCATACAGAAAATCTTAGAACTTAAGTTAGAATAGTGTTTCTAACACAGCACACATTTCTATAACCAGACTCTTAAAAGGTTAAAGACATTCAGTAAAGATCGTGAAATTGGAATAAATGTTTAGATCACGGTGAAAAGTGACAGGCTTAGAATTAACCATGCTTCTACTATATTTTCTCAAAAGTGAAATAAAGATGAATTCACTAGAGCTTAGGAGACTAATAATTCCTCTCTTCCTCCAAATTCCTTGCAAAAGACAATTACTAAATACATATAAAGCTTAATCAATATAGATGACCCACTGGAATAACCATGTTTCTCTCCAGGAAGATCTTGTCCGCTTCTGGAGTTGTTGGCCCATTGGCACCTTCAGCAATGATCTGCAAGAGAGTCAGGAACATAGAAAAATGCCAACAACACCGTCAAATCCCCTCCACTGAGGGCAAGAGATGTGCATAAATGAACATGTGTTCATACGTGGGGAGAAGCACAGTTTCAGTTAAAATTAAATTAATAGAAGTTATTTTGCTCTGCAAAGTGTATAAAACTACCTTTTACTTTTCTATTTATCTAGGTTTTTTTTTTTTTTTACAGGAGTGTCAGGCAGATGCATTTTTTTGGTAATGGTTGCACAACTCTGTGCAGGAAGCTAAAAGCCATTAAATTATTTACTTTAAATGGGGGAAGTGTATGGTATGTGCAATATATGCCAATAAAGCTGCTAAAAAGAAAGAGAAAACTCAATCAGATTCTTCTATGACCCCCTGACGTCATTCACATTGAAAATGTTGGTTCCGGTTTCTATAATGTTGTCACCTTGGCTTTGACCCTGGGTGAGTTGGATTTGGTCAACTGCTTCTCACTGGCAGCTGGGATCAGTATGTCACAGTCGGCCTCCAAGATGCTTCTGTCATAGGGCTTTGCCTTGGGGAAGTCCAGAATGGACCCATGTTGCTGCCATTGATTGAAAATCACAATTAATAGCTGTACCAGAGTTTAAATGTTTATATTTAGTGTCTATGCCATAAAAATGTATTAATACCAATTTGAAGTCTTCCAGTTCCTTTGGGTCAATACCATCTGGATTCCATATACTCTCATTAGATTCACCAACAGCAATACATTTAGCACCAAAACGATGTAAATATCTCATAGAGTGTAGGCCCACGTTACCAAATCCCTGTAAAGAACAATTATCCATGACACAAAAATTAAAGT